GTAGGTAGTAGTAGGTAGTAGTAGGTAGTAGTAGGTAGTAGTAGGTAGTAGTAGGTAGTAGTAGGTAGTAGTAGTAGGTAGTAGTAGGTAGTAGTAGGTAGTAGAGTAGGTAGTAGTAGTAGTAGTAGTAGGTAGTAGTAGGTAGTAGTAGGTAGTAGTAGGTAGTAGTAGGTAGTAGTAGGTAGTAGTAGGTAGTAGTAGGTAGTAGTAGGTAGTAGTAGGTAGTAGTAGGTAGTAGTAGGTAGTAGTAGGTAGTAGTAGGTAGTAGTAGGTAGTAGTAGGTTAGTAGTAGGTAGTAGTAGGTAGTAGTAGTAGTAGTAGTAGTAGTAGTAGCAGGTAGTAGTAGGTAGTAGTAGGTAGTAGCAGGTAGTAGTAGGTAGTAGTAGGTAGTAGTAGGTAGTAGTAGGTAGTAGTAGGTAGTAGTAGGTAGTAGTAGGTAGTAGTAGGTAGTAGTCGAAGGAAGTTTAGAAGTCAAACTTCCGACGATATGGAGAGATGAAAAGCAGAGCAGGGAAGAGGCAGAGAGAAGAGAAAGATTAGAAGAAAGAAGAGTAGAAGAGAAAGAGTAAGAAGAAAGAAGATGCAGATGCGAGAAAAGGTAGGAAAGTCGCGAAACACTGTGTTTTTCCAATGATTTGGGGCTCCGGAGGGTCGAAAAGTAGGCTCGCTAAAGCGGCGGGTGCGGAGCCAGCTGGCCAGATGAGAGATGAAAAATTGCACGCCGTTGTGGCGCGAAGCACATTTGCAAGTCAGAGTCAAAATGCACAAGACACCTGGGTCTCGGAACAATTTTGGAAGTTGCGATGTCGAAAAAGTGCACGCCGTTGTGGTGCGAAGCACATTTCGAAGTGAAAATGTACAAAACACCTCAGTGTCGGACAACGTTTGGAAGTTGAGATGTTGAAAAAGTGCACGCCGTTGTGGCGCGAAGCACATTTCGAAGTCAAAATGTACAAAGCACACCAGCTCCGGACCACTTTTGTCAGTTGAGATGTCGAAAAAGTGCACGCCGTTGCGGCGCGAAGCACATGTCCAAGTCAAAATGTACAAAACACACCACGTTCGGACCACTTTTAGACCTTCAGAGCTCGTTTCGTGTGGCAGGCGCAAGGGATTGTGCACCTTGTCAAAAGTGAGGAAAACGTGAGGGTTTTGTAGCATTTCCAAAAACGATTGCAGGCGTGGGACATTTGAAGAGGATCTGCAAAAATGCATTTTCCGTGGTAGACGCAGTACAAAAGACATGTTCATGAGAGATGTTAGGAGGTCAGGGCGCTGATTTCCTGAGAGGGGTTGCATTTTGGAGCATCAGATCTGTAGGTTTGCTAAGATGATTTTGCGTGACAGGTGCAGCACTTCGTATGACCTGGCATCAATTTTTCGTGGCAGGCGCAGTACTTTAGACAGGTGGAGTGGAAAAATCGCAAAACGCAATGGTACGAGGCTGTCAGCGCTGCACTCAACTTTCCGTTTTTGAAGGAAGTCTCGCAGAATTGCTTTGATTTTGATGTTGTCAAATGCAAAAATTGAGGAAGTCTTGTTGAATTGCTGCGTTTTGTATGTTGTCAACTTTGAAAAATGAAGAGAACTCGCAGAATTGCTTCGTTTTTGATGTTGTCAACTTTGAAAATGAAGACATCTCCCAGAATAGCTTGGTTTTCAAGCTTGCAGATAGACAGGTAGATAGACAGACAGACAGATAGATAGATAGATAGAAAGTAGATAAATAGGTAGATAGATAGATAGGTAGATAGATAGATAGATAGGATAGATGATAGATAGATAGATCGATAGATAGATGGATAGATGGATAGCTAGATAGATAGACAGATAGATAGATAGATAGGTAGGTAGAAAGATAGAAAGATAGATGGATAGATAAATAGGTAGGTAGACGGATCGATAGATAGATTAGATAGATAGATAAATAGATAGATAGATAGATAGATAGTAGATAGATAGATAGATAGATAGGTAGATAGATAGATAGATAGGTAGATAGATAGATAGATAGAAAGAAAGATAGATAAATAGGTAGATAGATAGATAGATTAGATAGATAGATAGATAGATAGATAGAAAGATAGATAAATAGGTAGATAGATAGATAGATAGGTAGATAGATAGATAGATAGGTAGATCGATACATAGATAGATAGATAGATAGATAGATAGATAGGTAGATAGATAGATAGATAGACAAACTGCTAGAAAACTAGACAGCTATATAGATAGGTAGGTAGATTAGATAGATAGATAGATAGATAGGTAGATAGATAGATAGGTAGATAGATAGATAGGTAGATCGATACATACATAGATAGATAGATAGATAGAAAGAAAGATAGATAAATAGGTAGATAGATAGATAGATAGGTAGATAGATAAATAGATAGATAGGTAGATCGATACATACATAGATAGATAGGTAGATAGATAGATAGATAGATAGACAAACTGCTAGAAAACTAGACAGCTAGATAGATAGGTAGGTAGATAGATAGACAGATAGATAGATAGACAGACAGATAAATAGATTGATAGGTAGACAGCTAGATCAGTAGGTAGGTAGGTAGATAATCAGAGAAACATAGAGAAACAGAGAGAAAAAGAGAGAAAGAGAGAGAAAGAGAAAGAGAGAGAGAGAGATCAAGAACCTTTCAGTCCATCAGTGGCTTCGCCCTGCCACCCCTGATTCATAACAACCAAGCTCTCCTATAGGTTTCCTATTTTTGAAACTTCCGCCACAGCCTGGTGCGGTACTACTGGTAGGTAGTAGGTAGGTAGGAGGTAGGTAGGAGGTATGTAGTAGGTAGGTAGTAGCAGGTAGTAGTAGGTAGTAGTAGGTAGTAGTAGGTAGTAGTAGGTAGTAGTA